TTTTGGTACAGGTTTTGGGTAAGTAAATAATTATTGGGTACTTTGACCCTTAGGGATACATAAGGATACGTAGGATTAAGAGACTGTCATTGACTCAGACTGAATATTCGGACGAGAGGGTAGGATCTAGATAGGGTTGCCGCAATGAAAAGAGTTTGCACCAAGAAAAGACTTACGTCAAACAAACTGCTAAGACGATTAGGGTTTAGGATTTAGTAGGCAAAAAATTGCGGCCAACAACACCTGGCCTGCTCCAGGGTTTCCTTCCAGGCGCTAAACTCCAGCTGCTCCTTGGCGGGGTTCAGGGTTTCAGCTTTTTAGGGTTGGAACAACCTTCTCGGGACCCAAATGGCCCAAAGGGTTTAGGGCTGAGGGCTTGGGGTTTAGAGCCTTTGGACCCCAACTAGGTATCACTGATAGACGTAGGTCCTGAGTCCTGAGGGACATGGTCAAGGAAGGGTGGGCTCACCTGACTGGAACAAGGCTTTGAAGGATATCTTGTGCGCGGCTATTGTAGTAGCACAAGGACAGCCATGAATGTATTTTTCAAGTTGTGCAGTATACCGGGTTGCTGTTAAGGAACTTAGAGTAAGTGATCATGTTCTGGGTAGATTGTAAATACTGAAGTTTCCTTCCTTATGGTGACTACTTTAAGTTCCTTAACAGCAACTCGGTTTTTGGTATTGTGGGAATGTAAGCCGCTTTTTGGTTCTGCAAATCGAGGTTGTCCAGGAGTCATGTGGGCTAATCATGCTTCAGGCTGTTTTATGGACCGACCTCGCACCACGAACACAAACTCAGCTCCCTGTTGCATTCTTTGCACTTGGCCGTTGCACGCCGACTGCAAAAACCATAGAAAATCATGCTTCAGACATGCAAGACGGAGGCAAGGAAGCAGTTACCTAGGTGGCCGGAATCCTGACAAGCATCACAGGTTCACTACATATGAAGAGCTTGCGAAGCCTGAAAGACAGCTTGCTTGAACGTTGTGGCGTCTGCATTGCTGCACCTCAGATGCATGTTGTGGACAGGGATGCCTGTCATCCCCACCGATTGGACGGCTGGGAGAAATTACTTCGTAGACTAACGCAAACTCCTCGTAAAGGCCATTCTGAACGCTTCTCGAAATTGAGGCAAGGCTACCATTACCCCTCTGACAAAAAGAAAAGGCGAGCGGTGGAGCAAGAGAGAGACAGATAGAGAGATAGAGAGAGAGCGAGAGCCAAAGAGAGAGAGAGAGAGAGAGAGAGAAGAGGACAGACAAAGACAGAGGAGAGATAAAAGGGAGAGAGAGAGAGAGAGAGTGATAGAGATAGAAGGAGCGAGACGAAGGGAAGGGCGGAGGAGCAGCACAGGGGAGAGGCTGAAGAAAGACATGGGGAACATCGAAAAGTGCTTGGGCCCAGGCCCAGGGTAGGGACAGCTCGGTACCACACTCCAGTAGTAATCGCTGGAGGTACACAAATGCCTTTTCGGCAAGGTCAAAGGGTCCTTTACCCCCGAACTTCCCCAGGCAATGTGAGCATTGCATCAAAGGCTCAAGCTTAACTGATTTGTCATTTGACTGTTTTGCAACGGTAGCTGAAAGGGATTATGAAGGAGCCGGAAGTAGCCCATGAGAGTTCTAGACAAGGGCTGGAACAGCTTCTAGCCATCAGTTCCAGGGCTTTTATCGGGGCTTTGACGGTTAAGCCAACATAAAGTGTTATGAAGGACTTGGGATTTAAAGCTTAGGTGATTGCGGAGCCTCTAAGGGCTCTCTTGACGGACCAAGGGTGCGCCCTGTAGGTACTACTGTTGATGCGCAAGAATGAGTTAGAGCCGGCAAGTCTTCGAGTCTTCCGGCATCAACTGCAAATCCCCCTCAGCATTAAAAAACCGCAGCAAGTGAGCTCCCCAAACCCCAAGCCCTCAACCCAAATGAGCCCTAAACTCTAAACCACAAGCTTTGGACATGCACGGCGGTGCAAGTATGATTTAACATTTGGGCTGCGGAAAGTTGGCAATGGTAATGGTAGTCTAGCTATGGCCAAGTATATATGGTTAACTATTGGATTGGAAACTTCTCTGTTCGGGGTCTGTACAGAGACCCCTAAACCCTGAATCCCTTATTTGGGAAATGCTGAAGTTGAAGCTTAAAAAACATACAGCTATCAGGTAGATCACCGCGTACCTGCGCGGAGCACTTCTGCGAGCCATCTCGGGCGATATCTGCCAGTGCTTGAAGTGTGGGTACCTGGGCTTGAGACTTTGGGGATTACCAGGGTTTAGGGAGTTTTGTAGTTTAGGTGTCCGTTGGTACCCTTTTGGTGAGGATGGGGCGTTGAGGAGGCAATGTAGGATTTTGGTTTTCCCAAAACAGTGGGTCCTTTTACAGGCCCTACAAAATCAGCATTCCATTTTTGACTGGAGTAGACAGGGACCATTCTAAAACCCCCATTTAAGGAGGTAAGGCTCACAAGAGCTTTAGGGTTCAGGGCTTAGGGATGAGGGCTTAAGGATTAGGGTTCAGGGAGTATAGGGTTTAGGGTGCAAATAGTCATGACGACCGCGATGGATCAACCGCTTGATCTGATCATTACATAACCTTAGGGGTCCAGGTACCCAAATAATGAGTCTCCAGGGTACCCAAGAACCCTAAACCCGTAAATCCTTAAACCCTAAACCCCCCTTGTATCCTCAGGGTGAACAGACAAGAATACTGAGAAATCAGTTTAATATTCAGAAGTCGGACCGGACACTCGCTCTGAAATGGCTTAGCAGTCCTAGCGCTAGTTTAGGGTTTAGGGCCTCGGGTAGCTTATTACCGCGCCAGCGCAGCGGTGGTCAACATCGGCGGCTTCGTAGTAGCCCTGATCGTTATATTTGCAACCACAGTGATAGGAAACACGGGAAGTAACGATGAGCGCCATGCTTCCCCGTATGACCCATCTCAAAATCAGACACAATTAAAGGGCAGGAGGTCAACTTCAGTAGAGTCGTATCCCACTATCCCCCTGTAGTCCTTGAGTACCCTCAAATTGGAGCTCCTAATAATGGACTTGGCGCGAACCGAATTTTGGCCCCTGGGGCCTCAAGGCATAGCTGATTGGGAAGAGGACGCGCATGAATCACCCAGGAGGCAAGCAATAACAGTCAAGTTGGAAGTCGAACAAACACAATTCCTATGCCTATGACAGCTTAGTGCGATTTGCAGTGGACTGGCAACCGAACTATAGGTGATGGCTTGATCATGACTTGGGTATTTTCTCAGCTGGCAAGTGGGTGATCTGAGCTATGTGCCCAAAGCGAGCGCCACTGGGACTGTGCCTGGCGACCATGAAGGAATATGATATGGGCTTCTCCTACACTATTTTTCTGCAAAATGTATAGGGGATTCAGGCGGAGGGGCATGAATTGGTGTGACGAGGCATGCGCCGGGGCCTGGGGAGACCTTTGGGACGAGCGGTCACGTAGCGGCATACCAAGCGCCAGAGGCAGCTACAGTACCAAGCATTGTCCGCATTACCCCAAGCCTCTGAGTAGGGTGTTGTCGGGCTGCTGGCGCCCTAGACCTGTAACCGCTTTAACCTTACCTGAAACTTAAGCACCTCAACATCCTGAAACCCTAGAGGCCTGAACCCGTACCCTGTGAACCCTGGACCTCCTACATCCCAAAAAGCAGCACACCCTAAACTCTGAAACTTGAACCTTAAAGCGTTGCCATGTCTTGGGCATCTTCCGACCTGATGGAGCTTTGCGCGTGGTGCAGGAACCACTACGAAAGCAAAGTGGGGCTTTCACAAATCGGCTCTCCCTTGAAAGGGCTTAGAGACTTAGATATACGGTTATTTATTTTGGGGTTACTGTAGTATTTATTGGGTTTAAGTTGGGAGAATGGAACAGAAAATGGAAAATGCTATATTTTATAGGGTTTGGTGGTATACAAGGATACCCAGGGTTGAGCGCGGGCATCTTTTTGTGGGTCGGAATCGATAGTAAGGATTGTTATCTAAGCGTGACCCCCATCCCCCTACTCTGTAATAGTGGTATACAAGAATATTATAAACAACGCTAATGCAAATCACCATAATCCTTGATTACACAGGGCGGGGGGTTCTTCTAAGTGCCGGGGCCCCTAAACAGCTTCATTCTGCGTCTTTGGGGTACTATATCCCTATATGCGCTTGGTCTAGACCGCTAGAATCTCCCTCAATAAAGCCTATAATACTCCACTATATATACATATATACCATGACCTTCCTTGCACCCTTAATCGGGGATACATGGTCCCTAATAGTGGGTATTCAGGCCTTAATAGAGGGTAGGAGGAGGGTCTAGGTATATGGCATATGTATATAACCCCCCTTGAAGGAGTTTAGACTCTAGCTCAGATATAGCCGCGTACAACCGCAACACATGACCCGCCTCAACCGGAAGCGACCGCGCACCCCGGGCCAGCTGAGGAACCTCGCAAGAAGTGGAAGATGTTTGTTCGGGTTTAGGGTTTAGGGTCTAGGGTTTAGGGTTCAGGGTTTTCTAACCCAAGGGATCCTAAGTATCTATATGAGCTATAGTTAAACTCCTTAAAAGGGGTTATATAGGGGGTTATATAGGGGACTACTTTCGGGGTTGTTAAGGGGGATACTAGGAGTTTAGACTATTGCTCCTATATAGAATACTGACCTACACCATATTAGTTTCTCCCCGTATAGAAACCCTACAATGTAACATATGAGGCGGCGTCAAAATTACTTGTTTGTTCTCTCTTGGTTTTTGAATTAGGGCGTCCCCTATCGATTTCCACGTTTTGGGGATCTTCTCTTAACCCTAGCTTAAATGAAATAAGTCTACAGTTTTAGGACGTCCCCTATCGATCTTGGGGATTTTTGCGCAACAACTACCGCCTAGACTAACTGAAGTAAACGGTAATTTTGACCGCGACTCATATTATTAATAGATACTTAGGATCCTTTGGGTAAGGCTGGGAGGTCTAGGGCGTCAGAGACTCAGGGGTTCTGGGGATTTGGGGTTTAAGTCAGGAGTTTGATGGGATTTAGGTTTCCAAGATTTTGGGGATTTGGGTTTCCAAGGGTGGGATTTACGGTTTCAAGGTTCAAGGATCTAGGGCTTTGCAGCCAGAGTCTGCACGTAGGGAGGCACTTCGCGCGTAGCGCACCCTACTTGCGACGGCTGATGCCGCTTGACATTACATTGAAGACAGGGTATACAGAGACCTATCGCAAACCCCAGGTCTAAGGCCTTAAACCCTAAACGTAACACGCTAGTACCAAAGACCTGAACTTGAACCGTCTGCCCTTTATAAACCCTAAGCCGTAAACAGTCCACCCCGAACCTTCAGCCCCAGACTCCGAAGACCTATAATGGTATTAATAGTAAAAATATGTGGGATAATAGTCATAGTAATACGAAAAATGATACTTCTAGTCCTAAGAGTAGCAGTACTAGAAATGAGACTAATACTGACAGTAATATTAGAAATGCGAGCAATATATTCCTAATCATAGCGGAAATGTTAATTTTGAAAATAAGATTAAGAATAAACCGAAATTCCACAAATTCCCATCCCCTCATAAGCCATTACAATTCCTTATCCCTAAACTCTATAACTTCCCGCATGCCCTGGACCGCCCGGCCAAAGTCGAGAGGTGGCTCAGCGCCGTGGCGGATGCTGGGGTCGAGTTCTGCGAGGCGAACGCCTGTCCAAAGCAAGGAGCTGCGGGAGTTAAAGGGTTTTAGGGTTTAGAGTTTAGGGTTTTGGGGTTCAGGCTTTGGTTTTGTAGGGTTTTAGGTAGGCTTCAGGGTTCGTAGGGCTTAGGAGAATCAAAGTGAAACGAACATGCAAAGTGAAATCTGGACACTGTGCTAGCACAGGCGGCTGTTCGGATCATACTAAGTTCTGCACATAGGAACCCTCTAGTCACTCAAGCACAGAGTCTAGGCAACAAACATATTTGAAACAAAGACAGACATATACGCACATGGCACGAAGCTGTTCCAGCCCAAGTCCAATAGTTTCAGCCCATCCTTCTCTGATCCAAACGCTCTCACCAAGGGGACTAGGAAGGGTCTAAACCCAAGCATGCACATCTTTTGGTGTGGATTCTTGATTTAAATCCTTGCAAATACAGAAACTGAGCGGGCAGACCTGGTGATGAAGGACGCCACGAAGCGTACAGTTTGGACAGCCAAAGGTGATAATGTCGGGGTCTTAACATCTCGAATAGGGATTTAGGCTATATTATACTTTAGTCTACTAGTTATCTAAAGCTGATAAGGCTGCAAGACTGGTCATTGTCTAGGCTTCTACAGAAAATTTAGATATCTCAAGCTTGTTATATATTATACTGATAAATAAGTATAAGGCCATCCCCTTTAGTAAGCCTTGGATACTGCCCTATATAATGCCCCATACAGCCTCCTTTAAGGAACTTAGAATATACCTAGCCGAAAAAAGGTGGACTCAGATATGAGGTGGCGAGAGGCTGCGTCATTGTCATTTCTTTTTAAGCCCATGGTGCAGGCTCAGAGCATACCTAGATCCCATGTCAAACCCTGAGCCCTAAACCCCTACGCCCTAAATCCCTAAATCCCTGAACCCTAAACCCTAGACCCCTAAACCCCTAAACCCTAAATCCCTAAATCCCTACACCCTTAACCCCTAAACCCCTAAACCCTAAACCCCTAAACCCCCAAAACCCTAAACCTGAATTCCTACCGCCTAGCTCTGAATCAATGATCATTGCATCCTCAGCGCAAGGCCCCAAGCTGTCAAACTCCAAGCTGCCGGACTAGGGTTTGAGGTTTAGGGTTTAGGGTTTTAGGGTTTGGGGTTTAGGATATAGGGTTTAGGGTTTAGGATGGCCGTTAAGGAACTCAGGTAAGGGTTTAGGGTTTAAGTTACCATATTATTAGGGGCATATGGTACCTAGTAGGGTTTCCGTATTATAACTTAATCCAGAGTCCTTATAACAGCAACCCAGTTTACTACCCACAAGGTCCAAGTACCCAATCATTCGGTACTGAGGGGACGGGATGGTCATAGGACTTGTATTGCAAATATATGAGAGCTACATCCTACTTTCCAAGTTCATGGGTCGCTATACGTAAAAATCTAAGCGCGACAACCATGCAGCGGTGATAACGGGGAGTAAACTCATGTAGGGTGGATGAAGCCCTATATAATCCTCACTACCCATAACCCCTAAACCCTAAACCCTAAACCCTGAACTTCTCATACGGCCTTCAGCGTACGCAGCAGCTCAGGAAACTGCTGCAGGGACAGCAGCCGCGACAGCTCCTAGTGCTGTGGATACTCGGGGGCTTCGTTTCATTTCTGATACCCTGAGGGTCCAAGGACCCAAATAATAGGGTTTTAGGGACCAAATACCATAATATCAACGGTATTTGGGCCCTAAAACCTCATTATTTGGGTCCTTGGACCCTTAGGGTGATAGGTTCAGGGTTTCCGAAACTTAGGGTGCACGCAGGGGTTTCGAAAATTCGGGGTAGCTCTAGCCTAAACCCTAAACCCCAGACAAAATTATGTGGATCCCAAAGAGAGACACAGAAACCCCATTGCCTTAGGGCTTAGGGTGTCGGACAGCGGGCTAGAAGCTCTTACTGGTGCCTAAGTGAGTGGGGGAGTGGATCCTTAGAGTTTAGGGTGTAGGCTGGATCTTTGTAATAGTCCGCATCTCATCCCACGTATACCCCTATGATAGTCTCTAACATTCACTCCCCCACTCCACGACCTAAGCACCAGTAAGATGTTAGCAAGCACTTTTTAAAGCTAGCTTATGGTACACACCCTCACAAGAAGTTTGAGGAATATACCGCCAACAAGAGAAACTTAGAATTATGCAGGGGTTATGTGCGCTGTATACAGGGGCTGTACGGGGATGATATAGGGGGTAACTTTAAAGTGGTTCTAATGGTTATCTAGGGTTATGCAGGGGATACATAGGGATGAATAGGGTTTAGGTGATATAAGTCATATAGGGATTATCACCATCTTAAATAGCCAAGACCTTACAATACACGGTACTACAGGGCTCCTAAATGGCGAAAGATTTCCTGCATCCACTGTATTAGGACGATTGGACGCTGACCCATCGGTGAGTCTAGGCTGTAGTGACACTGCCCCGGGCATCATGTACACCCTTGTGGGATACTGTGATGGGACCTGGGATAGCCCTGAACCCTGGGACCTAAAACCCCTAAACTCTAAGCCCGACGCAACTTGATAAAGGGCACCAGATTTATTGAACCACCTTCTAGTGCAAATTCTGCGAGAGAGTCCGGGACGCGAGGTTCCAAGATTTCCCACATGTTGAGAAATCCCGGTCTTCTTTCTTGATGTTATATGATGTTGGTAGACACATCAAATGGATGAAATGTAGAACGCAGGTGTTGAAATCCACAGGGGTACCGGGAAGGGGGGGAGCCCACGAAATTTGTGCATGCTCATAGACATCCGTAATAGGTGTTTGGGGAGGTCTAAGCAAGCCCATGAGCCCCTCTCAACCCCACCCCCACCCCCCATACTTCCCAGTGCTCCCCCGTCAGTTCGGTTTGTTTAAGCCTGGTTAAGGTTATTTAGAAGGGAACCTAGGGGTAGCACGGGAACCCATCCTAGACCAAAACCTCAACCCCAAACCATGATAGAACCTAGAACCTAAACCCTAAACCCTAAAACTCTACCCTAAACCTTAAAACCATAAACCCCAAAATCGCCTGGTCATCGCTTAGCCAGAAGTTGAGGCACTCAATGCTGGCGCTGCACGCGCCGACGCCTCATCAAAACAGCCAAATATTGTCGCTGTACTTATTTGGGTTTAGGGTTTAAAGGTTAAGGGTTTTGGGTTTTAGGGTTAAGGGTTTCGGGTTCTTGGGTTAAGGGTTTCGGGTTCTAGGGTTAAGGGTTTAGGGATGTACTTTCAGTCAATCCCCCATCCAGTAATGGGTACCACAAGGGACGATTGTAGGCATATTAAGACCCTATTAACTTAGTATTAAGGAGGCAGTACTATAGGGGGGATTGACCTCAGCTTTACGGCCCTGTACCCCTTGTATACCCCGATCTACGGATATATCCTTCTATCTCCCATTGAAAAGTGACCGGGGATTTGGCACCCCAAACCCTAAATGAGCTATAGTCGAAACACCTCGTATCCCCCGTAGCAGCCCCTGGAATACTCCCCTATGTAATCCCCTATAAAACCCCCTTTAATTTAAGGAGTTTAGACTATAGCCTAAATGAGTCAGAGAGCACCTATCTTTCAAGACAGCACAGCATGGCCTGCCGGGAACTCGGAGATCCGCCTGAGCCTGGTATGGGTTTGGAGGTTTGGGGGTTCAGGGTTTAGGTTGAGGGTGAAGGGGCGAGGGGTGGGGGGTTTGGAGTGTAGAGCCAATGGTGTAGGTGTTTAGCCCCGAGCTTGTTTGGTTTCTGAGGAGGATAACTACACCTCTGCAAGTGAAAGATTGCATGTTTGCATGCGTAGGAAGTAGACGATATATCTTTACGGAAGCACGCACGTGCTACGTCTCAGATATTTGGCAGCTCCCTAAGTAACGACGCTTGAAAGCACTGGTCGCCTGAATCTCAACTGGTGCTACTGTGGCCATGATGCTGGGTGCCGCTGCTTTGGGATTTGAGACGCCCCTACATGTGAGTAATGGTTTTTTTGGTGGTTAAATCTAGTAAGATAATATTCCTTGTATAAAATACTACACCCCAAAGGAGGATATAATCTTACTCTATAATGCGTACCAT